TTATCTTCATTTTGTGAAGAATGGATAGTTGATGAAGTTAAATGACCAGCAAAAGGAGGAGCCAATGGATTTAGTAAGCGCAATGGACATCGAGACTCCTGCGCAACCAATTGTGCCAGAAAATACAGCAGACAACCAAACTGATGCAGCAGATGGGCCTCGTGATATGTCCATCTAGGCGATTTAAGACCACCTTCCAAATCTCCGTTATTTTGTTTATACTAATGATATATTTTGTAAGACAATTATCACATGGTCTGGATAATGAGTCCAAACTATTTGATTTTGTGCTAGATAATGAGTGTTTTCAAATATTTATAATTTATCTTCATTTCTTAATGTGTCTGCTTGTTCTTGTGTTAAATTGTAATATCACTTTCACATGTTGCGCGATGTGAATCTGAGATTAATAATCTGGGTGCTCTAAGCTTTTAAGTATGAGGGTGCATTTCATTGTGCCTTTATTTGGCGCTATGTTTTGTACTTTGCTAGTGCTTTAAGGTTTGCAAGATTTTGTATATAGTTAAAGTTCATATAATTGCATACCGTATTGTGCATGTTTTCTTGGTTTGATGCCGCTTGAATAATTTTGGATGCCACTTTAACTTGTGCGTTTTTCTTCGCGTAATAGAAGTGTAGACCAACGAAGTTTTTGATCTTTTTCTTCCTGTGCACTTCTTTTGACATTTTGTGGACTAGAAGTTTTAACCAATTAAGGTTTTACCTTCCTCTTTCTTTGTATCAGAAGTTTTAACCAGTTAAGGCTTTACCTTTCTGTTTCTGCGTATTGGAAGTTTTAACCAGCTAAGGTTTTACCTTCTTTTTTCTTTATGATCAGACCAGTTCAATATGGATTAGATAAATCATACACGGTTGAATGTTGAAGACTTTGGGTCGCAAACAGTGTTTTGTGGGCTGAAGACGTTCATTGTATAGGTGATGGTTGGTGAAGACTTCTGGCGCAATGGAGATGACTAGGGGGTACCTGTAAAGATACTCCGACGCTCAAGTCAGTATCAATGCAAGGTTTATGTTATGTTTTATGGAAATCAGATTATCATACCTGGGTTTGTACCCTTTATATTTATTGCAAGCCTTATGCCGCCTTCGGTAGACGACATGCCTCCTCATTGGTTGTTATGGGCTGCAGACTTATCTGTCTCAGCTGGTGCCTTTCAGGCTATAAGTCTACAAAATTGTTTATCTTCTTAGAGTGGTGGCAAACTGAAGCTGTCTTTCGTGTGTTGGTCTGCATGCACGGTGGATCTCAGCCTGTCATAGAATCCTTCCTTATCCTTTAAGTTACATAAGGCGGTTCTACGCAATAAAGCAATTACGCTTCTTGGTCCTTCTGCGAAATGCATGTATCGCGCGTTATGGGGCCTGTGTTCTGCTTGGGGCCTTTCTGGACGTTAACCCTGATGGGCCTGTGTAATTATCCATATCAGTATCTTTTAAATTAATTCAAATAATATTATCTTTTAACAAAATAGGGAAAAACGTAACAAATAGTTGTTACAAAAATATGATGAGTAATTTAGTAGTCCTTTGAGAAAATTGAATAGGGGCGATCGCCTACATAATTTTATAATGTTTTGGGGTTTTTTTCTTCTTCTTTTTCAATTACCCAATTTGCTGCATTAATATGATGTTTTCTTTTATGCGTTATTTATATGTTTTTTGTTATATTAGAACTTCTTTAAAATAGTTTTTTCTTTGTCAAATCAAAAAAATAAAATCAAAAATTAATTTCTTTTGTTTGCAGACATAATTATTAATATAATAACAATGTATATATATATATATATATTAAAGTCACGTCATTTATAATATTAATATTGTGGAATTAAAGAAAGTAAAATATTAGAATATTATAGTTATGTAAAGTCTTATTTAACTAAAAAAATTAAAACATTAAATTTTTAACCTATAATAAAAAGTTTACTAAATAAATTTTTTATTATAAGTATTACTTAATAATAAATATCATTATTTTAACATATAATACGATGTTTAATTTTTTTAATATAGACTCACTATTTAAGGATTTATGGAAAAATAATTAAAATTTTGTTTATATTTCACTTGTATTTGTGTGCAAATATTATTTCTTTAAAAAATTAAATTATGAAGAAATAATATTTTCTATGGAATATTTTACGAAAGTGTCAAATATTAATTTATTAAAATAATTTTAAATGCATTGGATTCAATAAAAGTAATGAAACTTTTTGAAATTGTAATTTTTGTATGACCAACGGGTTAACCTTATCCTATAAGACTTTTGAACTGTGCATACCTTTATTATTATCAACCTTATCCTATGGACTTTTTGCCCTTAAGCATAGAATAGTGGCTAATGGAACAAGTTGACCCATTTTTATATCTCTAGTATGAGTCTCTCTCTCACTTTCAATCACACAAAGTGGACCTGTTAGTGATGTCTTGGTCATATCTCTTTGATGAACCGCAACTGCTAGATCTCTGCTTACAATCCAACAGGAGATGATTGATGAGGAACCTATGAGGGGCTGTGATAACAAGAGCTCTATGGACAGGCCCATTAGAGTTTGGGACAAGATTATGTGTGCTGAAGGGGGAATCAATTGCAAGGGAGTTAGTTTCTGTTGGGGAAAAGTTAGGTGTAAAGGAGGAGATTCTGTTGTAGTCTTTTGTGAGTTAGTTAGTGGCCGGGAAACCATGTTTGGGGAAATAACAACCCCACTTTTGGTACCAAAAAAACAATAACTTTTCAAGCTATATATTTTTTCCGACAATGGGTGTTGTGTGCAAACTTTTGTATGGTCCTTGGCTCAATAGTTCCATGGATTAGATGGAAATGTTTTTTGCCTGGGGAAGTGAAAATAAGCCGCGAAAATGTTGACCAAATTAACCTTCTTTTTTGTACGATATGTGTGTGAAAGAATTTGTTGCTCCCTCTGTCTAGTTGTCAGCATCTTTTTGGAACAAGATCTACTCCACTGTCCAAGCTTGGAGATTTACCCGTTTACACATTGCAAGGTATATTGGTATCTTGACATATTGGCTGCATGCATGAAGCAGAGTGGATGTGGCAAAACTTTTAGCCACTGATGACTGTGTGACCCCTCTACTTTCTGGTCATCGCGTCAACTCCATTTGGTAGCTGTACATTTTCAACGTTTGTCACATCCTCCGATATCTATAAAGTTTTGTGTTCTCCTGTATTTTTTTAGCAAACCCAGATCCGTTCTTCTTTGTCTTCAGTAACGTTAGATACAACGTTTCAAACAAAAGGTAAAGTTGGAGTTATTTTCGTAAAATAACCTCACATTCCCACTAATATTTCATAACCAATCAAATACACACTCAGTAAATTTAACCATTAAACCCCAGGAAAATTTTGCTATACTATAAACACTTTTTTAATAACATTCCAGCAAAAATATATTTCTCAATATATTCCTATAATAATTATTTTTCGGATAAAAAAAAATTCTACTAAATGCCCCTAAATGAGAAGAGTTGTTGTTAGTTTTGTGGCTATGGAACGGAGATCGTGGATGAATTAAAATAAATAAGAAAAAAAGCCCACAACATAGAAAATAAAAAGAAAAATAAAAAGAAAAGACAAGGAGTTAGGAGGTTTGGGTTTACGTAAACGTGAGCGTAGGGATGAGCATATGCGGATTTAGAGGGGGGCTAGGGTGGGCCCCCGCCCCCCCAATGAATTTTTTTTATATATATATAAAATAAAATTTTAGTAATATTATTCAATTATTTGTTTTAAAATTTGTATAATATAAACTTTTTTTCCATGACACCATAAGATATCACACTACACTCAATCATGGCCCCATCTGCATCCCCATGGAAAAAATCCTCTCTCTCTCAATTTTAACAAATCTTCTCGGCTCAGGTCTCTCACTATCTCTATTTTTTTTATGAAATTAACAATGCTGCTATTATTTGATTGTTTTGTTTCGAATTCGTTCATATCATCCCTATGCTTTGAATGTTTTGTTTTGACTCATTATCTTCCATTAATTAACATTTTTTATACCGATATTCGGTGCGTTAATATTTTTTAATGCTTTAATGTTTCATTAAGGATTACTTTTGAAACTGAAAGAATAAATTGTGTTGGACAAATAAACTAAAAAAAAAATTCAAAATATGGATGAACCAATAAATTAAAAAAAAATCAAAACTCAAGGTGAAATACAATAGAGCATAACAACATATTTATTGGGGACTTGTAATATTTCAAATTTTCAAATGCTTCATTTATTGATCTGTTAGTGTATTTTTTTAGTCTGTATTTTCTTATTTTTTGGACTCTGAGATCTAGAAGTGTTTACTTTTCAATGTTGGTTAGCTTGCTGGAGTATTGTTCTACAATATATCTTGATGATTATATTTGAATAATTTTACTGGATTCAACAGCTTGTCCAAGCATCATTTAGGTACAATGCATTTCAACATACATTTTTTTAATTTATTTATTTATCTATAATTTATTTAAACATTTTATGGATCTATTTTATTGTAGATAGGTTTAACAATATGAAAACACGTAGAGTAAGAGTCAAGTGAAATGATCTTAATTTCTGTAATAGATTTCTTTCAATTTTTTGCATATTAAGTCTGTATTGTATTTGAAATACATTTATTTATGAAGAGGTATTTTTATTTTTCGCCCCCTCTCAATAAAACTCCTGCGTCCGCCACTGGGCATGGGTCGACCCGAACCAATTTTTTTGAAGAACTAGTTCTTTGAACCGATTTTTTTTTAAAATGAAACTGGTTCGGTTCGGTTCGGTTCGGTTTAAAACCGGTTCGGAATCGGTTCAAGCCGAACCGCTTATGAACTGGTTTCAAACCGGTTTCGAACTAGAACCACTTCTGAACCAGTTTCGAACCACTTCCGAACCGGTCTTAAGGAAGAATTTTTTTTCCAACTTTTAAATACATCATTCACAGACCTACTATCTTAACAAGAAGTAAATAATACTTTTGCACTATGCCAAAAACCATGTTACAGGATTCAAATGGTTAGTAACTTGTGCACACTTTATTATTACACCATCTTTAAACTTATATACAAGGTACATAGATCGACATGGGATCAAATAATTGAAAATTGATGGCAATGCAGAGGAAGTGTCAGAATCAGAATTTCTCAGCTTGCCACACCAGCCACGTCCCAAATCACCAAAAATATAATCTGCAAAGTCATCAGTACTAGTTGATTCACATGTGCTATCAGTACTGCAAGAACCTTCATCAGAATTGCTGCTGATAAGGGATGAATTATCACTTGATGAGTCTTCTTCCAAAATCCTTCTCAGGTGGTGAAACTTCGAATAGATAGTCTCTAAGGCGGGTGAGCCATTTGGAGAAATCGAACTAGTCATGCATTCAGTAGCAGTGGATACATATCTTGATTTCATAACAGCTTTTCCATTGACTTTGTGTTTTGAATCTGAGGATACTATCCTGTTCCTAATTGATCTTGGTGCCCTAGGTGAGCCTCTGAAAGGTGGTTCAACTAGTCAGAGAAGGAGATGAGAGACAATATATATTAAAAGAAACCTTGACACAGAATAGACAAATAAATGTTTGTGATACAACATGAAATATGATTGTAAGTACATACAATATGATTGTAATACAACATGAAAATTCTGCAACTGTGACAGGCAATTAAATGTGCAAGAAATAATTTTTCAAGGCTTCTAGCACAACTCCAAGTAACCAATCCCTTCTCTTCCAATGAGCTGCTAATGATTGTGATTTAACCCCAAAAGTTATATGAAGTCTACATAGCATTTTAAAGTCACAATATTCTTATTGTTAGTCACGACTATCCAAAATATACAAAGTTTCATAGCTCCATGGATGGTTAAATATCTTACGAATACTCTGTTACCTATTATGAATTCTGAACAAGCAGTTCTTTACATGCTTACTCTAGAACAATCATTATGGTTATATGGAAATTACTAATGCCAGCAAAACATATTTGGAGTATGAAATGCCTAATGAATAATGATCATATGTTGTGTTTATTAATTTATGTACTTTAAAGGTTTCTACATATTTCTTGATGTGGAAATTTGAATGCTGTAAAGAACAAAACTACGATATGGCTAACAACTATTTTTTTTTGTAGATCTTGTGACCCCCCTACTTTTATAATAACTCTGTATTTTTCAAGCCATTTTATGGGATTCACATAATGATGCTACTGACTACTGTTGAATTTGATTTGTTTATGGGATTCACATTTTGGTACTTAATCAGGAGTTCAAATTTACGGAGTACATAGAAGTGAAGAAATGCTATCCTCATGGATACCATGGAGTTGATAGAGATGGCAGACCTGTATATATTGAGAGAATTGGGATGGTAGACCTTGACAAACTGATGCAAGTAACCACACTTGAGAGGTTTATCAAGTATCATGTATCAAAACAAGAGAAAACACTAGGAGTAAGATACCCTGCGTGTTCTCTGACAGCTAAAAGGCACATAGCATCCACTACAAGTATCTTGGATGTCAACGGAGTAGTAAGCAGATTTTTCTATATATTTTCACCTTTTTATTAGAGCTTGCCATTTTCCTGTTCAACTGTTTCAGAATTCTTCCTATAGGGGACTTGGGAATCACAAATTCTTACATGCACGAAGAGGAAAGTGGCATTTATCTTTCAAGCATACAATATCCAAAATAAAACCTATCTAGATACACTTCATTTTCTAACGGTCCTTATCTATATGGTTCTCCGAATGCTGAACGATTATTTGGTTGTATTCTTCCGGGGAATGTCTAATTTCTCAAAGCCATAAAAAAATCTGTATAATTCTGTATAGAGTACTCATAAAATGGAGAATAGGCAACAATTTTATATTGTAAGAAAAAGAAATGAACAAAAGACTTACTTTTTCTTAAGTATAATTCTGTATAGGACACCTGTACTGATGATATTGAAGTTCTGTAATATCTGATAGCCTGGAGCGTCTACATATGCAAAGATGTAATACTGCCATAAAATTGAAAAGTAAATACAATCAGATTTCAGAAAGCATTAAATATCTGTTGCAATACCAAAGTTGTGGAATAATCCCATTGTCACCATAACAAACATAACCATCCATCCCCAACCTGAAGCAAATTTTTGACAAGGTAAAGTGCTGCTGGAATAGGATACACTATAACTTCATCTAATGTTGTAGTCCACCTAGGTTCAAGGCACAATATACATCAAGTTATTTAAAGTCATTCTCTATCAATAACCAACAAGAAAAAGGATAAAGCTTCAATGAAAAGATGAAGTTGCAATACCAAAACATCAGCAGGACAATTTAAGTGAACCCAATGGCCTACTCAAAAATAAAATAAAAATTTACAAAGCCATGAATCGTGTCGTTTTTTATTGAAAATTTTCATGAACCAACCCTAAATTCTATTCCTTCTACCTGTCCATACACATTTGGAAATTCTCTTTTAACCATTTCAATACGAATTCCCAATTACACAATCCTTCGTAAAGCCATAAGATTAAAAGTGAACAAAGAATTTAAATAAATTAAGGCACTTCAATGTGAGTTTTTTCTTATCTTTTTCAAATTGTAGTATTTTTATCCTGATTGATTCCAGGATATAACAATAGAATTAAAAATTATCTAATATATTTCTTCCAGGGTTAGATTGAAAATACGGATTTTGCTAGAACCCAACAATGTCAATCAATCCGTGTAGCCAAATCCACCTAATAGGGTAAGCCTTGGTTGGTTATCAATGCATTTCAAATTATTACTTATTACCAATACCTATTCCAGCATACACATTCTGAAAGGCTTCAATTCAATTCATGAGACATAAAAAGGTTGGGAATTAAATATTTTAGAAAGGCAAGAGATATTTTTTCATGAGATTAGATGGTGAAATACTTTTTAGATCAACCAACAGTTTTTCCACAGCTATCATCATCATTTACCTTCAATACATTAATGGACCCAAGTAAGAGAAATTAAAAGATAAAATACCTGTCACATATGTGAAGTTTGCTATTTGAAGTCTAGGATGCACATAGGATGGTTTCACCCCTCATCTATCTGGATAGAGTTGTTGTTCCTATTGATTTGGTCTGCATAGCATTAACAAAGTATAAGTAACTCGCAGTGTAAAACTTATTTACAAATAATTCATACTAATTAAATTTTTAATTTATTTTATTTATAAAAAACTTGTATTGATTGAAATGTTGCTAATCCATATTACTAGAATTATTTGATTTACAGTTTTATCTCAGAAATAATCACCAGACTAGTTAAAAGTTTCAAAGTACTTGACAAGAGGCTTTGTGGGTGGGACAGAAATACTGATTTCTGATTATGCTCGCATATATTTCAGAACAAAGAAAATGAAGACTTTATTCAGAAATTATTGAACACCAAATATTCTGTTAAGTGTGAAATGATGTGCAAAGTAATTTTCATCATTCTGAATCAACTAATATATGAGGCTAACTAGCAACTTCGAAAGAATTCTACTCAAAATGCTGAAGCAGAAACAGATAAGGAATAGAGAAGTAAAACTAGAAGAAAAAGAAGGGCATCTGTTTAAAATTATTTTCATGACTCAGAAAAAAAATACATATACAAAAGAAATCAAGGAAATTTTTTTACTAACTAACCATCTCTAAAGAAATTCATCAAGGAGACTTCTAACTTTGTCACTATTCACTCTATGGCAATTCAAGTCACTTCACATCAATTATTTATTTCACAGTACCTCATGCAATCAAGTTTTAGATCAGGAAACCGATTATTACCTCATCAACAAATTCATGACTCGGGAGTGCACGCCGCTTTTTGATGGCTACAAGCACCCCGTCTTGAAGTAAACCCTTGTAAACTTTAAGTGGGTCCAATTAACTTGTCAACTCAAATTATTTATTTATTTAAAAAAAAAACTTGTATTTATAAAAAAAACTTATCCAGAGTGTTAACTAAGAATTCTTATTATATTATAACAAGTTATCAAAAAAACTTTACTAAAAGAATCTAATTAGGCTAGTATGGTTCGAAGAGACTATGGTAGTATGTGGTTATGAAATTTTTGCTTAAAGAGAAAATCTGCACACGTACAATATATGTACAATCTGTTTCAGATTCATACCTCTTGATTTTTTTACACCATCCTCCCAGCTCTTCGACTGGTGCATCTATACAAGGTAAAAATTAAACATCATTATGCAGCAAATCATGAATGGACTATTATTTTTACTAGTAAGCACAATGCTAAATCATGATGGACTATAATAATTATGGCAATTCTAATGGTATTACTGTACTCACAACTTACATGTATGTATGCGGAAATCAAATCTTGTTTCTGAGCTTGATATAGAGTAGTCATGACAAATATCCCTATTAATTCATTGGATCCAATATAAAAGTTTGTTTAGTGGCATCATGGCGAGAAGAAAAATGTAGGATCATGGGCTCAAATACCATTTTTCTCAGGTTCAAATCTAAAAGTAAGCAAATTCTAGTTCTTTGAATTTAAGACCAGCATGTTGGGAAATCCCTTCTAAAATATCATAGCTCCTCAAAGATCAGAGTTCTTCAATAAATTGAAAGAAAGGCCTCTGTCACACATATCTTATATAGACTAATATCAGATGCACACTGACATAACAAACAGAGGATCTGATTAGCCCACATGTCATAATCCAGTAGACACCCTTAATTTTTCTCTTGTTCAAAAGTATATTTTTTATTTCTTTGTCTTTGGCCTTGTCCTCTAATTTGTTATCTCCATTCAGACATCTAACGGGAAGTTCACAGATTGTGAAAAGGTTCGATATTTGCAATACATGACTAATTCTCTTTTTTCGTTTGTGGAACAAATTCGTTAAGAACAAAGTCATGAGCATGAGATTGAAGCCAAGATACAAGGTTTTAAGCTTTAGCTCTGTGTTTTTTTTTTTACTTAACTTTTGAGACATCACTAACTAATCTCTCTTGTCAGGAAAATCATGTTCTTAGATTAAGATACCTCGAAGTACTTGTAGTGACGATGAACGTATCTATTGGTATTGTATCTGTCCTTTTTCCTAATATATACTATAGCATGATTCCTTCTATATTTTACAAGATCTTTTATTTTAATTTTTTTGTTCTTGGAGCAGTGATCACTGTGCCACGTCTATTGTTGATCTTTATAGAAGCTGCCCCAAGTGTTCGTTTGAAATCTGTCTTACTTGCTGTCAAGAAATACGAAATGGAAGTATTTCACCCCGGCCTGAACTGAAGTTTGAATATGATAATAAGGGCATTGAGTACATGCATGGTGGTCATCCTCAACCAGTATATTGTGATTTAGGGACTTCAGAGGACACTATTGAGATATATACTGATTGGAATGCTAACAGTGATGGAAGTATTAGATGTGCTCCAAAAGAAATGGGGGGTTGTGGTGACTGTGTATTGGAGTTGAAGTGCATACTTCCAAATGGACTGATTCCTAATTTGGAAGACAAAACTCGTAACATGCTGAAGAATTTTTGCAAAATTGAGCACAAAACTCTTCAGAAAGAAGCAGTATTAAGCAGCAATTCTATGATAAGAGCTGCTTTTAGAGATGGCACGAATGATAATAACATATACTGTCCAGTGTCAAGTGACTTGTCAGAAGAAGGGCTATTTCTCTTCCAATAACATTGGATTAAAGGTGAACCAATCATAGTTCGGGAGGTTCTTAAACAAGGGACAGGTCTGAGTTGGGAGTCAAAGGTCACTTGGCGAGCATTTTGTGAAAATTTGGTTTCAGGGAACAGCTCAAATGCGTCAAAAGTGAAGGCCATTGATTGCCTGTCTTGTTGTGAGGTTTGCTTCTATCATCCTTTTTGTGCTTTTATACTAACATTTCCCCACAAAATCATTGTCATAAAATAACTATCTTTGAATTGGGTAGGTGTAAAAGCATATGATATTATATTTCTTTTATATTGTAATGGACAGTGGGTAGTTTATTCATTTCCAGTAATCATGTCTTTTTTCTTATTCATTTCCTTCTTAATGTTAAGAATAACAATTTCACTTTGTATTTCCTGCATATAATATTAGAACTCTGATTAATACCCTTCTAAACCTTTGCAGGTAGAAATTCTCATTCGTGATTTCTTTAAAGGTTATACGAAAGGAAGAACATATATGAATCTCTGGCCAGAGATGCTCAAGCTAAAAGTCTGGCCCCCCTCTGACAAGTTTGAAGATCTTTTGCCTCGGCATTGTGATGAATTTATCCGTTGTTTACCATTTCAAGAGTACAGTGATCCTCAAGCTGGAATCCTCAACCTTGCTGCAAAGTTACCAGCTCATGTCCTAAAGCCTGACATGGGTCCTAAAACCTATATTGCATATGGGACTAAAGAAGAACTTGGCAGAGGGGACTCTGTAACAAAGCTTCACTGTGATATGTCTGATGCGGTATGATACCTTGTAACATATAATTTCTATTATTTAAAGCCTTGTTAGAAACTACATTATATTTGTGCATTGAATACAAAATCCTAGTTTTCTTCATGTTATGCTGGTGCTTCTTAAATAATTTTTTAATTGCTCTTGTTTTTTCTTTGTTGAATTTGAGTCATTCCTTCGGTTGCAGAAATTATAGCTTTACTTTCAGTAGTTTAAAATGTTGTTTTTATATGGTTGAAACTTGGAATTTATAGTTTGTTAATATGGGTAACCATATTGTAAGATGGCAAATGATTATATTCTGTTCTTAGAGAATGGATGAAACTTCTAATTAATCTAAGGCATTTTTTTTTTTGCAAAATGCAAATATTATGCTCTTTTAATAACAAATAATATATTTCCATCTTTAGAAATTTCCTCTATATCTTGTGTCAGGTATCAAATGCTAGCACATTTACTTCAATTTTTATTTCTAATTTCTTGTTGAATAATTTGCACAGGTGAATATTTTGACTCATACAGCTGAGGTTACATTGACTGATGAACAACACCCTGTTATTTCAAAATTAAAGAAAGCACACAAGGCCCAAGATGAGAAAGAGTGTCATGCTCAGGTTGCTGAATGCCAGAAGAAGTGCCATAAAGTCAATGGAAAGATATTTCCAAATGATGTGCCTGCTATCTCTAAAGAAACAACAGAAACAGGTGGTGCTCTTTGGGACATCTTTCGGAGGGAGGATACTGAAAAGTTAGAAGCATATCTACGAAAACATTCTAAAGAATTTAGACATACTTATTGTTGTCCAGTTCAAAAGGTATTGTTATATTTGTCTTATATTTGTGCTTATCCTTGCTTCTTATGCTTTGGTGTTCATTAATTTCTATTCTGGTTAGGTTGCCCATCCAATTCATGACCAATGTTTTTATTTGACTTTGGAGCACAAGAAGAAGCTGAAGGAAGAATTTGGTTAGTAGTTAGTTCATAGAATTGCAAACAACTTGGGCAATGCCTACAATTAGTTATTTACCCAAATCTTAACTTTCAGGTGTAGAACCTTGGACGTTTGAGCAGAAACTTGGAGAGGCAGTATTTATTCCTGCTGGATGTCCACACCAAGTTAGGAATCTCAAGGTAAAACTTCTCTTTGACACATATTGGATTGCCTCATTATCACATTTTTATTTATTGTACCCCTTTAACTCTAATTACAATAATGGAAATCTTGCAGTCATGCACTAAAGTTGCTTCAGATTTTGTGTCTTCTGAGAATATTCATATGTGCTTGCGATTAAAGGATGAATTTCGTCCTCTTCCTAGGAATCACAAGGCGAGGGAAGACAAGCTAGAGGTGATTTTCTTCTATAACATATTTCCTTATCTACTTTTATCCTTCTCTCTTCCTTAGCTTCAACTTACTTAAGTTGTATAAGAAATTATGATGTTAGCCAACATTTTCTTATTTTATGTTTGTTTATGGTGGATGATTTTTAATGAAACAGATAAAGAAGATGATCGTGCATGCTGTAGATCAAATAGTCAAGGAATTAGAATCATTGGTGGAGTGTTCTTGAGACTGGCCTATATGCTGCTTCCATAGCTGCTATGATTTTTTTAACTTCACAGTTTACATTTTTATTCAGATAGAAAATTTTATGATGGATAATTTTTCATTGGAGGCTCAATTTGATTTTTTTTCCTTGTTATTCAATCATGTATATGTATACATACACAAATAAATAATTTTCTCTCCATCTTCCTGCATTTGGATTGCCCCTTGGGTTTTTGTGCTCTATGCACATAACTCTTCGGTACATTTTTATTATAAAATTTCACAGTTTTGAAATTAAACAAATGCATTACATTATAAGAATAACTTTGTTGCTAGTGATAAATGTGATTGTAAGAACCCGCACCGTTAAATTAGGAATTTAATTAATTAATTATGAGCTTAAGTGAATAATTTCATAATTGACCTTAAATAATTATGGTAAGGTAAGAATAATTAATATAATGGCTTAATAATGCTGAAAGTTGCTTTTCTGACGAAAAGTGCAGATACCGATTCTGCTCTACGGTACAATTGCGTACGGATGAAGTATCACAAAAAATTATAATATAGTATTCCTAGAATAATATATAGGACTGGTATAACAAGTTTCAAGTCAAAATAATGAAAACTGGTGTCAAGACTGATACCGGCTACGTAAAAGCGCGTACCAGCAAAGTGTTGTGAAAAATAAAATAAAAATATGACAAATCTTAGGAAAATGGCTAGGTTCTGAATTCAAAGTTTGGGATTAAAATGATAAACGTAGCCATTAGTTCTAATACAGTGTGATTAATCTTAATATCCCTATATATACTTAATGGCACATATTTCTAGGTCAGAAATCTCACACTCTACGTGCCTCTCTTCTGAATCTTGAGCTTTCCATGTTTGCCACCCTCTTCCTCTTCACCTTGTGAGCAAAGAGATCACCTTTTCTCTTGGTTTCTTCACTAAATCTCCATGTGTGAGTGTGCATAAGACTTTAGAGAGTGTAAGGTGATCTATTTCTGAGTTGAGTGTTAGTTGAGTAAGGGTTGGGGGGCTGACTTCTTGGTGTGAGTTGTGGGAGCCATTATGATGGCATTTTGAGCTTCAAGAAGCTACCATTGTTGATAAAGGACCAAGCTTGCAAGGCAAATTCGTAGCCTTGTGAAGTCAGTGTTGTGTGGCTGATTGGTGAGCTCCAAGAGCACCATTTGCTTCTGTTTTAAGCCTTGGGTAAGGTTTACCACCTTTGTTCTTGAGTTTTCTTTGGAAAGAATGAACCTTGATGCATGTAACAAGCTAAAGTTAATAACTTAAGGGTGGGTAATGTTAAACACACCTAGAAATGTATGTTTGAGCTTCTGAAATCGTTAAAAGAGCAATCTTGGAGTGATATCTCGTGAAATGCAGAAACTGCATGCTGTCGCGAAATATCCGGATATGGGGTTTGAGATATCCGGATATGGATATCCGGATATGGCCTCGACATATATCCGGATATACTGAAAATTTCGAGATGGTCACTGTTCTGTTCGTACAGAATGGTATTTTGGGTTTGTGGACCCATGATTGGTAGA